GTTCTATTTTTTTCAGATTTTGACGAATTTGTATATAAAATGTACATAGATGACAGAATTGTCAGCTTATCTTTTAAATTTTTTTGAGAATTTACGTAAACATTCAATATACATAAATGAATTGTATTTTAAACAGAAAAGAGAACCTAATTTTCAAATAAAATTTCCTTCTGAGATGATCAACGAATCAATTTTGCTGATGTTTTGTGGAAAGTTTGATTCTATAGATGAGCAGTTGGACTTTGTAAAATTAATAGGCTCTGCTCATTATATGATGATATCAGAAGATAACATAGTTTATATGTTGCATCAAGTACCATCAGGTATTGGTAAATGTATTTTTCAAGCAATATATTATGCATGGAATGTTACTCATTTAGTCAAAGTTAGCATATTATTACTACGACGTTTAAATATTGCTGTTAAATATTATACTGAATTACTACTGAATAAGGAGAACATTATAGCGTATAATAGATTTCGACGACGTATTCTTGAAAAGTAATACGAATTTAGCTATTACAGATATTTCTAAAAACGTTTATGTGCGCTAAATGTAAGTTGTGTGTGTTTCAAAAGCTAAAAACTGTTTTCATGGTACATCATGTGTCGACCACTGGACGATCATTGAGCATCCATTCTGAAAAAATAAAAGTTCCTTCAATTTTTGTTCTCATTCTGCTTCCCTTGAGCCACTTACCTTCGCTGCGTCCTTTGTGCGTTAGTTTTGAACATGTTCAAAACATTGTAGCAACAATAGCATAAGCATTGTTAATATCCTGCGATGTCCTGGCAATCACCATGCCTCTTTTGAGACTGCAACAATGACCAAAACGTCTATTACGTACATGTAAAACCCGAAGTGATTTTCAGTATTAGATCAGAATACTGCGTAGTGAAAAAAATTAAATCTTTGCAGTTAAACTCCGATATCTTCTTATCGTAACTTGAGTACCTCCCAAAATTTAAGTTTTTTATCTTTCTTTAAATAAATAATTTTATCTTTCCCCAGACTTTGACGATGCAGCAGTAGGGGGAAGTGTGAGGGCCACTGATAGCAGAGAGGACGTCCTAGACACTGCTACCGGTGGTAAACCGCCAACCCAACCGCCTGTCCCAAGCCAGGAACCCCGAAATAGGTATGTTTGACATTTTATTTTATGTGTACACTGTCAGCATTTTTTAAAAATTAATAATTAGCTAGACATTCATCTTATCAAAATAATAATAATTATAATACAATAAAATTAAAAATAAATGAATAAATAAAAGAAAAAAGGCGTTGCGTATTTTTGAGCATATGTGTATAGTCTACGTGACCTTGTGACTACCAGTCGGCAACCCATCGTTTAAGCCCTGCAGCCAGTTTTCAATTACAAGTGGTTGCTGACGTAGTGTGTTGCTCGGCAAACAGTGTGCAACTGGTAACCTGTAGCTTGAGATGGTATTCAGCAGTTGCATATACCATACTATAACGTTGTTTTGATCGCTGTGTTGCAATCAAAGTATAACAAACCTTCTTATTCAGTTGACAGAGTGACTGAAAACGACACGGAGTTGTGTGGTTGATAAAGGTTTGCAACAAAAAAATGAAAGCGCAATGAAACCCAGTCTTAAAAAACATGTATGCTCTGCAAATGTTTTATTTTTACAGAGTGGTCCGAAACTCAGGGATGGTTTTCGCATCTAGATAGAGGTGTATCTCTAAGTTTCAAGAATAGATCACCATTCATGTAAATTACATTTAATTATAGCCTGAAGTCATTTGTTTCGTCTGTCTCTCTCGCTGACAACTGTGTTATGTTCTTTCAGATCGCCTTTTAAAACCATGGTATCGGACAACGATGCTAATGGTGAGGGAGAAGTCTGTTTTGAGTTGAAAAAACTCCACATCAAGTGTGAAGGTGAGACTGATCAATGAATTAAGTGATGTAATGTTGATGTATTTTCACTGTGATATACGTATGAAAGAAACATTAGTATTATATGTAGCTCACAATCACCCATATACCGCCATGTGGGTTGTTTCCTGAAGGCGTTGGTCTGATAATGGTACCATATGGCGTATTTATTACTGACACAAAACTTCTTGATACTTGCATGCAGATTTCCCTTGCGGAATGTCAAAATAGTTATTTTCTTCAGAGTGAGTTAATGGGTTAATGGGAGTTAATATATAATGGGAGTATATATATATAACTTAAAAATATAATTAAACATGTTATTTCATCACCAATGTCCAATATGTGTATGTAAAACATAGTCAATGCTTGAAAACGGGTAGAGTGGTCTGATATACCGGTTTATTCTGGATCCGAAGGTGCCGAGTCTTGTAGTTGGGTAGGCCTTTTCTTGTAACAACAGCATCTTCGACAGTTCTATCACTTTGTGGTTGGTCATCCCCCAGGTTAATAGGGGTCAAACATTGACCTCGTGAGGATTTGCGCCCCCTGGCCTTCCAGGCCTTTAAATGGCCATGATGCACCATGTGAAACAAAACATTACATCTTTTCCATAACCCAGTAAGTCTTCAGCGCATAATATAAATGGCTATCAATACATGATTTTGCTTTTTCTAATATATACTTTCGTATTTTCTTTTTAACAAAGACGCACATACCCCCATTTGTTCTCCCAGTCTAAATATTTCTTCTCGGAGGTTAATGAATAACACATATCCATGATCAGCCATAACACTGTTGCATTTTTCTATATCATTAGTACAAACCTCGGAGAGACACACGAAGTCATAATGTTGTAGTATACTATTTGCAATATCTCGCCTATTCAGAATTCTATTTATGTGGGATATATTCCATGTCAGCAAGTTTACTGTATTTCGTTTTTTACACTATGCTCAGTCGTTTCCTATATTGTGAAGTCATGTGTCACTCTAAGTTGTTTGTTTCCTTTGAGTTCTTCCTTTGCCTTTCTCAGCACAGATTCACGATCTTTGAAATTAAGGAACTTCACAATTACTTGCCGCTGAATTCCCCTTGGTCTATTAGTCGATGTACCCTTTCAATTGGCATCTTGCTATTTTTTGCACGTTATTTCTAACGACTCCACTAAAAAAGTTTTTGCTTTTTCTTCGACTGCCTCCCACGTTTCTTCTGCTCATTGCCCTGGGTCTTGGATAACATAAATAATAACATTGTTCCTCTTCGATTGGCCTTCTATGTAGTCAAATTTATTTTCTAGTTGTGTGATTCTAGCTTTCAGGCTGCTATTTTCCAACTCTATATAGTATTGCTGATCTTGGAGTTCAACAATCTTCTCTTGATACTGTTCTGTACACTGCTTGATCAATCACACTGTCTTTCATTTTCTCCATGATGTCTTCCATCATATTTTCAAATATCTCTTGCAGTGCATTTTTATTCACCAGTTTTTCTACTGCCTTTTCCAAGTCCCGTTTTGTGAGAGAGGTTTTAAGAGCATATTTTATTTCTTTGATATCTGATTGTATTACTCCCTAGTCTGTCACTCAAGGCTCACATTAGCCACATCTGAATGTGTCCTTTTTTCACGCTTGGCTGCCTCCTCCTGTACACCTGTTTGGGTAATTAGTAGCTGGACAGTTTTCTTCTGTGAAACCACAGACATGTTGACTACTGAGTACAAGTTCAGGCCTACCCAACTACCAGACTCGGCACCTAAGGATCATGCCCCAGAACAAATTTTGTAGCACGCCTGTGGACTCATCCAAGCTCGGCTGAACAACCGTAAACTGTACTCTTACTTTAAAGTACTCTATTTTATTGTCTCTATGGGGATATATGGGAACTTTACGACATTCGGTTTGAATGTTTTAACCACTTTTGAATGGGCTTTTTTGCATTGTATTAGATTAATGTGGCAGTCAAAGGTTCATCTAGGTGGCTTTCAAATTTATGCACCCGGTTTAAAATCATTTAGCGATTTTACGACAATCGTTTACTATCCAATCAAGGTGACAGTCGGTGTTAAGGCTGAGTGCAATAAGACACAACATTTCACTCCCATTCTGAAAGAATTGCACTGGCTATATATATGTGTGTGTGTGTATTTTAATAAAATTGATTTATTTAGATAATTTTAATGTAACTTTTAAACGGTTTCCAATGAGAGTTTAAGATTAAAATATTAATGATGTTAGTATATTAGCCATTATCGTAAGGCGCCTTGAGATAGAATGTAAGGCGCCACATAAGAATATTATTATTATTATTATTATTATTATAAATGCGCTATGGCTTTTTTGGCTCCAAATATGCCTCAACCTTGTAATAAGGTCATGACCTTGCTCTTAGCTTACCCCTGCAATAGTTGCATTTGATTGGCAATACCTTACTTAGCAGAAATTGACACTTAAGACATGTTTCTGTGACACTGAGTTACCAAAGTACGGATTTCATGGATACCCACCCCATTCAATGGTGGCCATTTTGGTTTTTTGACGAAAACGGCACTTTGCCATTGGGGATTCATGGGAAAATTTTTTGGGCCAGATTGGTCTTAATAGAACCCGAAAATGTTGTCCTTTTTTCCGCCCTAAGGTGTTTATTGACCAGCTGATATGCTGCTGTGCATTTTCTTCATCTATAACTTGTCACACGTGCTTTGCTTCAGGTGTCCATAGTGACACACAGCATATTGCAGCCCAAGAGGATCCACCGAGTTTACAGCAATCTGACGAAAAAAACACCTCCAGTGTCCACGACAAAACAGCAACTTCGCTATCTCAAAGAAAAGTTCATTTGCGTTATCCTACAAAGAAACCACTCGGTTTCCCTGAACAAAAGCTTGCATCTCAACGTCGTTTGTTGCATGACATCGTGGTACGATTTTTTACCGATCAGTCCCCAGTTAGAAACTGCAATTCAATATGGAAGCCCCGCATGGCATGTGTTTCACAACCTCTCCAATTACTCATTCGTAACCTGATGTGGGGTTTTTTCTACATGCTTGCAAAGCTTGTTTCTGGAGAAAGACGCCCAGTGGTAAAAAAATATGGCGCTATGTTCAACCCAGCGGAAATTTGCATCAGTGTATTTCCACTTCATCTTCAGGAGTATTTCCTTCGCAAGGCAAATGGTCCACCTTTCCGAAGGGGTGAAGAATTCCGTTATGAAGCTGTCAGATTATCGACCTTTCGAGATATGCCTAATTCGGTCCCTGTGCCCGCTACGCGCCTTGCACGCGCTGGATTCTACTATTCTGGAGAAGGAGATGAAGTAATTTGTTTCAGCTGTGGTAGGTGCCTAAGAGAGTGGACCCATGGAGAAAACCCTGCTGTGCGACATCGTAATGTCTCCTCAGATTGTCCACTTATGAATGGAACTGACACGGAGAATGTTCCCATTTTCCGAACTGATGATCTTGTTTCTAATGACAACATAGGGGCTAACGTTGATCCGTTCCCAAACTTAGCAAATGCAAGGTCTACACCACTTGGCCATGGTGACAATATACCGTCGCTACTGTCAAGTCAACAGCAACTTTCCAGGTCACTGGGCATCAGCTTGCGAGAGGTCACCTCCCCGCAGATCACACCGTTGGACAGAAGCACAATGACTCTTGCTGGGGTTGCCAGTGGTGTACGCTCTATCGAGAACAAATCCGCCCCTACAGCCCCATCAAATACATCACGTCTGCCTACACCGGTCCCTTCACAGATGAGGAACGAGTCTGACAGGCTGGCGACTTTCGTCAACTGGCCCAGTGGAGCAAGTGTCCGACCAAGAGACTTGGCAAGGGCCGGCTTCTTCTACGTGGGCACGGAGGACCGGGTACAGTGTGCCTTCTGTGAGGGGGTATTGAGGGATTGGGAACCAGGTATGAGTATTTTTTAATGCCATTAGCGTGCTTCTTCTCCTATCTGTTCTGTACAAGTGGTAAAATCAGGAAACTAGAAAAACGTTAAATACTATGTAAAATGTGAAATAATGATAACTAATGTGTGCAATGTGAATATTCTAAAATTATCTGAACAACCCCGCCCGCACGAAAATATAGTAAGATCGAAGTAGCAAAGAAGCATTGGCGCAGTAGTGGTGTGGAGCATATTTGCAGTAGAAATGCAGTATAGCTTAATGCTATTCTACTCCAAAAAATACATAGATTTGTACAGAGAGGAGGGTTAATGCAGTAGATTAGCAGCATGATAGAAGCACGTTTCAAATGTGATAATTAGCTCCCAAATCAAAGCAGATTTGCAGCATGTTTGCAGTATGATTGCCGTATTCCACTGCGCTGGAGTATCGACTGCGTTTTCGTGCGGGTGTAAACTTTAAAGTGATGCACTATTGCCATGAAAGACTAACTAGTTTTAAAGATTGATTTATAACATAAATGCTGGTTTTAGCAAAGCATTCGAGGCTGGTGGACTTAAAACGCACAATATACCTAGGCGTCCGGATGGCATGGATCTTGGACTCTCTGACCATAACAGAACGTTTATTTTAGGATACCAACCAATGCAGGAACACCGCATTTATCTTTCAACCTGCCCGTTCGTCCTGGGACTGGAAGTTGGGAACATTCCTCTAGAAGAACCAAGCACAGCTCTTTCCATTGCTGTTTCAGAACCACACAGTCAGGCTGTTGGGGACAGCACAACAGGATTAGAAAGTAAGCTCGAGTTAACGAAAACCATATATATAACCCTTACTTCAAGAAATACCGCACCGAAAGGAGGAAATGCCAGTGACCTTGAAAATCAAATGTGGTACAATATGCTGTACCCTGTACATCGACCCTTGGGTGAAAGGCTTATGTGGGCCATTTTATAAAATGCAGATGATGCATGTTAAGTGTGCTTATACCCTAAATTTAAAGTTTACCAGTTGGAAAATGTACCAGAGAAGAAGGCCGTCACATGTTTTTTTTTTTTTTCCTTTTTTTTTTTTTTTTTTTTTTTTTTGCGTGTATTCTTACATTTGTGCACGTTGTAACTGGGAATAGAGCCCTTGGTGGCCCACAGTTTCTGCTCAAATCTTGGTTCATAGAACATTACATCTACTGTAAATGCGTGTCAGTGGAATGACGTTAAAATGCCTTCATTTATGAAGTCGATCACTAAAACTCGTCCTATTATGTTTTTACCCTATAGATGCCATTACTGCAGCCACACTGGGGATATTAACTGAGAGACCCAGACACGAGAGATACGCGATTGAAAGCACCAGAGTTCAGTCTTTTGCTAACTGGCCGCCATCTTATACTCTGCGTCCTGAAGAACTCGCTAGGGCCGGGTTCTTCTACGCCGGTAACTCAACTTTATCTTTGACTGAAATATATTCATTAAATAAGTAATTATTATCTTAGTTCTTACCCTTTGGTTGCCAAATTTATAAGAGCGAGACTACCTCCTTCAATGTAATAGATATGCCATAAGCTATAATGTCAACATTTAAAGCACACCAGCATCCTAAATATTCACAGCTCTCACGATCTGTTCTACGAAATAGCTTTTAATTATAAACTGATCTTTTATGAATAAAATTAGACATGTGGCCCATCTTGTAATCTTGGTTAGTGGATTTACAGGTCCATTTCGTATATGGTTAAAACGTATTTATTCATATTCGTTAATAAAAGGTTTTGGTGACAATGTGAATTGCTTCTTCTGTAACGGATGGCTGAGGAATTGGGAACCACAAGACGACCCCTGGGCTGAGCATGCGCGTTGGTTCCCACGTTGTGGTTTTGTTCGCCAGTGCAAAGGGGATAAGTTTATCCGAATGATTAAAGAAGGCAATTCGCCACACAACCTGGTAAGCATACATTTCACCACATTTGATTTGATGAAGATGTAAACTAGTGGTTTAGGCGAGAAGGCGTTTAAATAATTGTTGTAATTTGGGGCATTGTTTTCATTTCAAATAAGCCAAAACTGTTTATCAAGATAAATTCTACATGATGAATGATAAAAAATAGAATTTGACTTTTTGAGAGTATATCTGCACCGCCATACACATTGACTATATGCATTTCATATTGATTTAATATGGGTTTGTTCAATTATCTTCCCCAGTCTCAAGCACAAACACAAACACAACAAGGTAAGTGACCCATGGGTTCCTGATCATTAAACACAACTATCATTTACCCGGTGCATGTGCCTGGCTAGATTTCTTAAGTTTTGAAGCAGCAATCAACTTTATAGATAGGCAGTAACAACGCCAATTAACTATCCAATTGAATGCAGTTATTTCAATCCAAGTTTTATTGTTATTCGCAGGGTAAGCAAAAGTAGTTGATAAATTTGAGGTAAATGTACAAGTCCTTACTGTTCTTATTAGAGGTTAGACCCCATCAAACATTCAAAAACTTAAAGCAAAACATCACCTTATGCTTGTAAATAAATAGCTGAGCTTGTTTTGTGTAATGTCACGTGGCAAGAATTATGTATGTATGCAGGTGTGTCGGGTAGTTATCACGTAGAACCCCGGGAGTTCAAAGCCAGCCTGGAGACCCCGACAGTGCAAGCCGTCTTAAATATGGGTTTCAGTCCAGATACAGTGCGTCAGGTGATTGAAAAAAGATTGCGGAATGTTGGAGACGATTTTCCCAGTGCAGCCAGTTTACTAGATGCCGTTTTTAACATGGATTAGATGAACCGGCAGACGGTGCAAGGTACAGCGGAGATTGCAGGCATTTCCCAAGAGGAGCCTGGTCAGCAGCCATTCAACGCTGCTCTGTCTGAAGCACCACCACGTGAAACAGCCCAAAAAACATCACAAACACAGAATACGGGTACTTGTTTGGGTTGTTAGCACTCTGCTATGTTTACTTGTGGTTAAAATATAAGGTTAAAACTAACAACATGTTCATCTGCAAAATGGATTAATAATTTAGTACAAAATAGATGGAATGCACTGTAGACGACTTACAGGCCTTCAACATGATCGTTAATAATACTTTTTCACTTCAATTAAATATGTAACTTAATCATTTCTTTTAACGCGCATACCGTCCTTCCCAGATGAACACCATTGTCGTGACTTCCACCTCTGTGACATTCACACACACTGGGCAATACAATTGTCACCCACTAAATCAGAGTAATAAAAGTAGGCAGATATTAGATAGTTATAATGCCTGGTCTACTTATAATGTGACTAATGAGTATAAAACCGCTATACAATGGAATTGTATTGTTGATCTTGTACATGTACAGCAACGTTATTTATGTCTTTTTCCAATTTGGCAAGAAACAGGCAATTATCAAACTGTTATAGGCGTCAAGTTATAACCTAAAGAGGCGTTATGTAAGCAATGTCAGAATATCGATACAATTGAATTGTTCAGTCAGAACCGTGCAGTGGGTCTGGTCTCGGTATAGAAACACTGGATCAAGAGACAAATTGCCTCTGATGGGTCGTCCAAGAAAAACTACTGGCCGTGAAGAACGACGACTGATTTTGATGCCAGTTTGTCAAAGTTCGGCACTGCTTGTCAGTTGGCAACACAGTGGAACAATTCCACACATAAGAACATGTCTGTGAAATTTGCTAGGCGTCGGTTACTTGTTCAGAGAGTGTACAGCAGGGTAGCAAGACTGAAAACTCTTATATAGTTACAAAACAGGCAACGTAGAGTGATCTAGGGTCAAAAGGATCTGGAACTGGCCAGTCCATGGTAATTGATCCTATATTTTTTTCTGATAGTTGTCGCTTTGGTCTGACCTCTGATTACAGACAGGTACGATGCTGGCAAACTGCCGGTAAAGCATTTGAACCACATGCACTGAACTTTCAAACTCGGAGCAGCATATTTATTATGGTGTGGGGCTGCATTAGCATCCATGGCGTGGGCGAATTGATAGTGGTTGATGGAATTCGCTGTTTTGGAGTCAGGCTTGCTACCATCTATTACTAACATGTTTGGTGACAGGGATTATCCTTTGGTCACCAGGATTAAAATGTTCCTTGTCACAGGCCCACAGCAGTTGATGAATTGGTGTGACAAACAGGACATTCGCAGGGTGATTTGTCCTGCCCAGAGTCCGGATGCAAACATAATAGAAAATGTGTGGAATGATATGTCAAAACTGCAAATGCACGACTAACCAGCAGAGAAACTCTATTATATAAAGTGTTTCATGCTTGAGCCAGCATAAGCGCTGAACGAATCAGACAATTATATGAATCCTTGCCTCGTAGACTGTCACCTTTTATTAGGTCACGTGGCTATGCCACTAAGTACTAATTATGGACTTGAAACTGCATATTTTGGTAGTATGTACATTTTGTTCTCATTTTGTGATTGTTTTATGCAATTTGATGTTAAAAAATGATACCAGGAGCATATCATTCCACAGTCGTTAATCTCCCCCGTAGTATTGGTTCAGTAGGGGTGACACTTCTATTGTCCAGTGAATGTAGTTTGTATTGGCTACTGGCGTACATGATACATCTTTACAACATTCAGAGTATGTCAGTCCTCACATATTATTTATCTTAATTCTTTAGAGAAGCTATCTAAAAAAGACAAGAAAAAGAAGAAACAAGACACTCCGGTACCTAAGGGCAGTTACAAGAAGGGTGAACTTTAGATTTCTGTTTGATGTGTGACATATACATAACGTGTTATAAGTTACTTATACTACATGTATTAGCACCCAACGTTTGATAAGCCAGCGTACTGTGCGCGTGGTGATTTGATCGAGGTAATTAAGGGTCATTGAGATCATACAGGTACTTGAGTACTCAGGGTGTTTGAGATAGAGCAGCAAAATAAGATAAATATGGTTAGAAAAATATACTTTTACTGTTCCACTACTTGCGAACGGTTCGTTTCACTGCATAGCCGCATATAGATATTATTGTAAATGTTAATTTTTGCATGACATATTCTATGATGATAGTAATAGTATTTTTTTTTTTCGTCAAATAAAACAAAAATTATTATCGTGTTTTAAAACCAACAAATTCACATCGCTGCTACAGGGCGTAAAATGTTAACAATAAGCCAAATTATTTCGCATTTGCACAAACACTGATACTCAATCTAAAACCTTTGGGTGCAGAAGAATCCGTGGAGTTCGTAGAGGTAGAGGAATGTTTGCAAAGAAAATGCGAAAGTCTGCCTTGCATGTCGCAGGGTCCGCGTGTCCTTTAATTGCAAAGTGCGATGGTCGTGGAAATTGTATACTAATTTTATGAGTTTGTCTTTCCACCGGCGTACGTGGCACACACTCACCACTAATGAGGAGGTAGAGGTAGAGGAATGTCTGCCTTGCGAGTCGCAAGGGCCACATAAGATGCCCTTTCAAGCAGGAACGCTAATTGCAAGGAGCGATGACCGTGGAGTTTGTACTCATTCATTGAGTTTGTCTTGCTTCCTGTGTACGTGGCACACACTTACGAAGGGAATGCAACGCTCGGCGACAGTAGTCCCGTTTGCGTCAGTTTTGCTTCACACTTGCCTCACACGTTTGTGATTAATCTTCTGATGGTGTGCATTAATTTTGCTTCCTGTTCTCCTCCCTTTTTCTACTATGTAAGCTTTTCCCCCTTGCCTTTTGGAGTCATATTAGAAACTAAATTGAGCAAAAATTTGATTTTTTTTAAAAATGGTTCTACACGTTACACAGTCGACGTTCATTGTAAAGGCACGAGCGTGCTTCGTGAGCACGTCTATTATAAACCAGGCGTGCGACGCATTCCCGGTGTGCTCTCGACTTTGTTCGTTAGTTGTGAGGGTGTGCGTCTTACTCAACACGCAAAGGGCATTTGCTACTTCATTGCTTGCGACGTGCGTCTTACAAAACGCGCATCTTTCTTGCTAACTCCGTGCGAGGGGAGCAAGTTTACGCTGGCGGCCTCGCTGTTCGCAGGCTATTCGTAGAATCTTTTGGACATGTTCAACATTCTCCGCACGTGCTTTCAGCGAACTCGAAATTTCGTAAAGCCTAGGTCCCGACTAGGTTTTGCACGCGCGGTTTTTTGGTTCCTTGATTCCAACAAACTTGCGTACTTACTACGCAACTTGCTTTCAATATACGTGTTAACAAAATGGGGGGTTAGCGAACTTCCTCCGTGCGTTTATCTTACTTCCAAAGTGCGTGGTGAGTACTACAACCGTACTTGTGTACTGCGCCTTACTAAGACGACGCACGTGACCAGCACGATAAAAGTGCGTCACAAGCACTTTTTTTTTTTCACAAAAAGACAAACAAAAATACATATGTAGACACACACACAAACACACACACAATAACACACAAGACATTCATTATACGTTAAGTAAACATGAAATATATGTAGATAGCCAGACTACGTACAAAACAGTATATTACAAGTGATGCTGCACATAACAAGATACAAACATTTAACATAGAAGAAAATTGCGAAAAAGTAAAGTAAATTTATAAGTGGAGAAACTAGGCAAAAATAGAATCCCAGGTTCTCCACTCTGTAAGAAAAAGGCCTAATTGAAGGTTTTTTTGAGAAACGTATTTTTCTAATTCGAATTTTGTTTTGATGTATAAGAGAAGGGAAGGGAAGGTCGGCTGGATTTTTCTTTTAAAACAGGTATATATATAAAATTTGGAGACAAGAATAATGTAATTTAGAGGCTTGAATTTTGTTTTGGATACTCCAAAAAGTATATTTTCATCATATAGTGTAATTCTTTCACCAGTTTTGTTAGCAATCAAACGTTCCATTTCAGTCCAAATGTTTCTTATTCGATAACAATTTAAAAATACATGTCGCAAATCTTCCCTCTCCGCTCCACAAATAAAGCATTTCTCTGACACCTCAATACCGATTCTTTTCAGATATTACCTAACCTATTGGAACCACTGAAGTTTTGTTTCTCGTGTAACATAGAAACAATTCGTATAAACATACTTCCAAGTGATATTTATATTTAGATCTAGGTTCCATTTCCTTTCATGTACCAAGTTTTCAGGAGTTTCACTCATGAGAACCTGGTAAAAATCTTTACAGCCATTTTGACTCTTTATAAGTAGCTGAACCGGCTGAGGAATATAAGGAAATAAAATTTCTTCAAAAATTTCTTCATTGTTCTTTTCTTTTAATCTACATTTTAAACTGTTACGTATTCCAAAATATTTTAGATCACATACTCTTTGAAATCCAAATTGTCTTTCCAGTCTCCTTCGTTGAAAAGATCGCCAATTATTCTTATACCCTTATTGTACCATTCTTTGTCCAATAGTGATACCCCACCCAATTTTACTTTACTATTATACCACAGAGGTTCAAGAACAATATTGCTTTTCATATTTTCTATACCGTATGTTAGTTCTTTCCAGGAGATAATGACATTTCTCCAAAACCTGTTATTGCAATTGCATAAGAGTATATCCAAATATTCATTTCCATAGTCAAATATATTCCAAATAGATTGTAAATCAAAGGTGTTCTGGAGAATAGTGTTTTAAATGTTATTTTTAAGGTATAGTCTTCTTATCCATGTACATTTTAATGCCGTTATGAACTTACTTAAGTCTGTCATTTTTAGACCACCATATTCATAATCCTTTACTATCTGACCTCTCTTTACCTTATCAATTTTGCTACCCCAGATGAATCGGAACAAAATAGAATTTAGTTTTTTTGATGAATACTAGATCTGGATT